GGGGGGAAGTGAGAAGGAGGAGGCCTTCTCAGAAGGCGGGGGGGCTTCTCGGAAGCCCCCGCGCCTTCCGAGAAGCCCCTTCTTTTCGTCTTCGGGGAAGAGGCAGAACACTTCCTACGAGGGCCGGGGGACTTCCGAGCCTTCTGAGAGTCAGGAGGAGAAAAAACACACAAACACAATTAATCGTCGATTCCCAGAAAAGATGGGGAAATATGGGCAGTGGGAGGGAAGACATAAACCCAGAAAATATGGGAAAATATGGGGGATCTTTTTATTTGTGTGTATTTATTTGTGTCTCCCTGGGCCCCTTCAGAGAAGGCCTCCTCCTCACTTCCCCCCCCCGCGCGCCGCCGAGCCATGGGCGCGGCGGCCCGCCATGAGGGCCCCGCGCTCCGCGCGCGCCCGCGCCGCGGCGGCCGCGCTGCTGCTGCCGCCGCCGCGGGCGGCGGCGGCCGCGGAGGGCGGCGGCGGGCCGCCGTGGACGGCGCGGCGGGCGCTCGCGAGGCGCGGGGCCGGCAGGGGCTCGAGCCTCAAGTCTCGGGGCTCCTCCTCCTCCTTCTCCTCCTTCTCCTCCTTCTCCTCCTCCTCCTCCTCCTCCTACCTTCCTCATCCTCATCCTCCTCCTCCTCCTCCTCCTCTCCCCTCGTCCTCCTCCTCTTCCCCCTCCTCCTTCTCCTGGGGTCAAGGGAGGAAGAACCACCCGGACCCGATAAATGGCGTTAGCTAAACGGTTGGGAGCCTTGAGACGGGAAATAATGCAAACGGGGTTCAGCCAGAGCGCCGGAGCTTGCAGGTTCATGCAGGGTCAGGGTCGCATTGGCCCCGGGTTTGGGTACAGGATCCTGCAGGATTTTGCAGGGTCCTTCGCATTGACCCGGGTTTGGGTGCAGGATCTTGCAGGATTTTCTAAGGAATGACTGGCCCGGGTTTGGATTGACCTGGGTCAGAAGATCACCGAAAGTCGGGCATGTCCCTCTACAGGAGCAGTGTAAGAAAGTTGTATGGTGACGATTTTTCGTGCTCTCGTGATTATTTTTGACAGTTTTGTTCGTTTTTTCTTCAAGAAAAGCCGCCCGTAGGAGGACATGTCCGACCTACCACGAGCTCTTGAGGGCGAGGGCCAGCAGCAGCAGCAGCAGCAGCAGCAGCAGCAGCAGCAGCAGCAGCAGCAGCAGCAGCAGCAGCAGCAGAGGAGAGGATGCCGACGTGCCGCCGTACGCGCCTCTCGTCGTCGTCTCGGCTGGGTTCGCCGCGAGGTTCTGGTCATAGCGCACCCTTGGAGAGGTCTGCGGAGTCGCGGTACCGTGACATTTTTTTGGATTCGAAGAAGAACAAGCGTCATAAAGACAAACTTTTGGCGCTCCACGCGGATTTCTCGGATCCGCGCTGGGCCCCCCTGGCGGCGCCTCCTGCGCCACCTCTGGCGCGCTCCGCGCGCCAGGGATGGGGGTCCAGCGGAGATCCAAGAAATCCGCGCCGAGCGCCACAAGTGTATATCTATAGCGTTTTCTTCGTTTTTTGTTAATTCTCTTCTTCTTCCCCCCCCCTCCACGGTCCCCTGGGATCCCAGATGGGGTCGTAGTAGATGGGGTCGGAGGGTCGCGCCGCATCGCCGATGCATCGCTGATGCGGCTCGATGTGGAGCCCGATTTTCTTCACGTCGACGTCGCGGATGCCTCGCCGACGTCGCCGATGCATCGCCGATGCATCGCCGACGTATCGCCGATGTATCGCCGATGTATCGCCGATGCGGCGTGATCCTCCGACCCCATCTGCGCAGACCCCATGCAGGAGGCCTCCAGTTCCCGTGCCCATCTTCGGCAGGATCCTGCAGGGCCAGATGTCTCTGCAGGGCCAGGTCCGGGCACACCCTTGCGCGGAGCTGGAGGGGAGGTGGCCTCTCGCCGGTCCTTCGGGAGCCCCCCTCAAGAATCGGCTACACGTAAGAGTGACCTCGGCGTCACCCCAACATACTTATACTAAGTGTGCGTCGCCCCGCCGGGGGCGATGCGCGCACCGAGCAATCTTACAGTATGTTCGTCGTGGCGGGCGCTTTCTGGCCACGGCTCGGGAAACGATATACTACAAGATGGGTATGCTATATGTCTGGGTCGGACGCGCACCTCCAAGGAGAACATATAATGCTAGTACTTCTCTGTGTGTCCCATGACCCTTCGCCGGAGTGACCTCCTGTGCGCGCCCGCCAGGGTCCCCCGAAATCGCCGCGTGCGGTGCCGATTTGAGCGCCTTGGGCGCTCGTGAATTTGGCCTCCTCGGCCCCCCCAAGAGCCGCGCACCCGAGGCCACTCCTGCCTAGGGTTAAGTCGGGCCTGTCCCTCTACAGGGGGAATCTTCTCAGATAGTCAAAACGTAGTCTGGGGACGATGTTTTTGACCACCTTTGAGCATTTCTGGGGTATTTTTGGGGGTACTTTTCATCTCCCTGCCCGAAATCCGCCTGTAGGGGGACAGGCCCGACCTGAGCCCAGGGTCACTCGCCACCTGCAGCCGAAGAAAATCACACTGCAGCGCAGCGTTCTGCATTGGTCGCGCCGGGCTTGCGCCGAGCCGGGCTGGCCCACGCCGGGCGCCTCTCCGGGCTCTTGTCGCCGGCTTCGGGGGGGGGGCGGCGGGGGGGGCCCGTCGACGGCGGCGGCCGCCGCCTGCCGAGCAGCAGTCGCCTCTCTCTCTCTCTCGTTGCACTTGTGGGCAGCAGCAGCTGCTGGGCGTCGTCCCCCTCTCGAGCAGGGGATCGATTCTACAGAATCGATTTGCCCCCTCATCCGATGACAGAGTGGATCCGCCCCCAGAGGAAGATGCGTCGGATCTGCAAGTCGCGCGCATCATTCCAACACAGATGCCAGGAGTCTACGTGCTCTCGGGTGCATGTCCGACGAACCGATCACTGTGTGGCAAGCCAGTTCCGTGGTCGATCCCCTACTCGACCACTGGCGCTCGCGGGCGGAAGCCCTGCCCCCTATCCGCGGCCTCGCGGGCCCAGCCCCCGGGGCGCGGCCCCGTGGCCGCGGGGCGCTTCCTCGCGGGCGCCTCGCGCGGGGCGCGCCCCCGTGCCACCGCGCACCCACGGGCCTCGCGCCCCTGCATGGCATCGCTCGGACGTGTGCATGTTTCCTTCGGCGAGGGCCATCGAGGAGCATCCTGGATCATTTGGCGGAAAAGCCACGCACGAAACCGAACAAAAAAAACACAGGGAATGGACGTCCGAGCGGTGGCGAGCCTAGAGCAGTCGAGACCGCGAGGGCGCGGATGGGGACACGCTCCCTGCTCGTGGGATGCCGTGCCTGCCCGCGCCGCCAAGAGGCACCTGGGCGGCCCCGTGCCGCCGCGGGCGCTCGCGGCGCGCATGCTGGAGGTCGCGAACTCGGACCCCCAGGCGCCGCGCAGCAGCAGAACAGCACTTCGATGAGCTTCGCTTATCGAAGTGCTTCCCTTCGATTCCCTTACTTCGTGTTATCGTTCTTCATGCTATTCGATTTCTTCCTCCTCCTTAAGTTTTTCCAGGTTCTAACCTACGATCGGTTGTTCCTGCAGTACACCTAGACGAGCAGCAGAACAGCGCGGCGTGCGGCTCTGGCGTCTTTGTCTGGGGCCTCCCGGGGGGGGGGGGGGGCCAGCTCCGGCCCCAGGGCCGTCCGATGCCGGCCCGGGGCTGCAGAGCGCTCCCGGGGAGCGGGGTCGAGGGCCCCTATACAGGCCCTCGTGCCTGGTGATGAGGAGAGCCTGATCTTGCCACGAGCCCCGACCTTGGAGGACAACTGGGCGTGACTTGCGAGAGAGAGAACAGCAAAGAAGAGGATGCCTATAGAGCGCATTACGTTGGTTCCCGTGTTGTCCGTTTGACGCTGTGACGTTTTGTCGAGGCGCCTCCTGCCGTCCTGGGGCTCTCTTGGGGCAGTCCTAGGGCCGTCTTGGGCGCCTCTGGGGGCTTGCTGGAGGCCTCTTGAAGGTTCTTGGGGCCTCTTGGGGGGTTCTTGGGGGCCTCTTGGGGCCTCTTGAGGGGTTATTTGGGCGGAGAACCCCAAAAGTCGGCCCCTGCCTTCGCTGTGGGGGCCCTCTTGGGGCGTGCCTGAGGCCTTTCTGAGGCCGTCTTGGAGGCCTTTTGGGTCGTATTGAGGGCGTCTCGGGCCGTCTGGGCGCTCTCTTGGGGGTCTCTGAGGTCGTCTTCGGGCGATCTTTGGGGCCTCTTGGGCCGTCTTGGAGCAGCGGGCAGGCGAAAAGGCGAAAACCCCAAAAACCTTCAAAAACCTAAAGAAACCAATGATTTTGGACGCTACGGGCTCTCCTGGAGGGCCTCTTGGAGGCCTCTCGTGGCGTCTTTGGGGCTCCCTGGGCCGTCGGGGTGCCATCCTGGGCGCCTCGGGCCGCTCTTTCCGGCGACTCGAGGCCTTCTTGGTCCATCTTGTGGGCCATCTTGGGGCCGTCCGTGCCTCGTGGAAGAGCGTCTGCAGAAATCGGGCCGTGAGCGGCCGTCGAGCGGTTGTCTTCCGCCGACTTCGGCCGACTTCCGCCGGCGTTCCGCCCGTGGCCGGGGCCATGCCCCGGGGGGTCCCCCCCCAGACCCCCCCAGGGGGACACTAAACGGGAACCCCTCCGCCAGGTCGGGGAAAGACACGGCGGAGGTGTGGCTGGGGAAAGGAAGCGCGCCACCACCACCTGGCGTGTGTGTGTGTGTGTGTGTGTGTGTGTGTGTGCCGGAGGAGCTGCTGTGCGGGATGCAGGTGTGCACTATTCGGCGGCGAGCGAGGGGGGGAAGTGAGAAGGAAAAGGCCTTCTCAAAAGGCGGCGGGATCTCTCAGAAGCCCTCGCGCCGTCTGAGAGGTTTCTTGTGTCTTCGGGGAAGGCTTAGAGAATTTCGCAGAAGGACAGGAAACTTCTGAGCCTTCTGAGAAGGCCCGTCCCTTCTCACTTCCCCCCCCCCCCGGGCGCGCCGCCTAACGATGTCCCGCCGAGAGCGCCCGAAACGGTACGCACTGCAACATACCCTGACCACCCTCTGCCGCCACCCCAGGCGTGTTGTTGAAATTGCGTTCTCCTCTTCCCAAGCCTGGAACTCGGACCCGCAGCCCCTCACCACGACCGTGCTGCCGAGGTCCTCGCGGCGCCCGCCCGCGGCAGGTGCTGGAGTTCTTCGCGAGCGGTTGTCGACCCAGGGGACTCTGCGAGGCGGGTAATTCATACATGACCATGCCTAGGTATTGGATATATATATATATATATATATATATATATATATATATATTATATATATATATTATATATATATATCCATCCTTACCCACCGCGGCGTCTGGGGCACCAGGGCGTCGATTCCCAGGCAGGTGGACATGGACAAATCCCCGCCTCGCAAGGACAGCCTCGGCGGCGCCGAGGTGCCCCTCCCTCCAGGCCACCCGGCGGCGAAGGCCGTCACCTCCGCCGTGTCGACCACGGCGGAGGCGCGGGTCCACCTAGTCGAAGGAGCAGAGACGGCACAAGCGTGCACCTTCGGAGCTCCGCGCGTAGTCCTTGGATCTCTGCGCTGGCCGCCCTCAAGGCGGCGCCTCTCGTCGCCGGGCTCGAGGCGCCGAGGATCCGAGCAGTGCGCGTGGACCTCCGAGCGTTTGTGCTCCTGCCGCTCTGCCTTCCTCCGCCTGGAGCATGCGGTCGTCCGGACGTACACGGCAGGGGGTGCCGGGGGCTTCGGCGTCGAGCGGCACTGCGACAACGCGATCGAGACCGCCGCCGGCGAGCCGCCGCGCTGCGACGTGGCGGCGCACTCCGCGTGCGCGGCGTGGCTGAGCGGCGGCAGGCTCGGCGCCCCCGCGCACGGGGCTGAGCTCTCCGAGCCGAGCACCGCCCGGCTGCGGCGCTTCCTCTGCCGGCAGCCCAACGCCACGCGGTGCTGCAGGCTGCCCCTGCCCTGCTTCTCCGAGGGCGCGGAGGGGCACACTTGGGCCCGGCTGGTGCGGGGGGGCGGCGGCTCGGGCTGCGGCCGGGGCGGGGCCCGGCCCTCGGCGCGGCCCCGCGGCGCCCCGCGCAGGCTGCCGAAGAGCCACGCCATGTTCCGCCGCTTCTCGGCCTCGGTGGAGGTGGACCGGCACGGTGCGGGCGGCGAGCTGTTCTTCGTGGACGGCAGCGGCCGGCGCGCGTGGATGCCGGACCGGCCGGGCGGAGGGCGCGTCGAGCTCGGGGACGCCGTCGTCTTCGCGGCCACCAGGCCCCACGCAGTTGCTCCCATGCGCAGGGGGCACCGCATCGTGCTGCTGTGCTGGTTCCACTTGGAGCCCTGGGGTATGGTCGCCGAGGCCCAGCTCGCGTACAGCAGGCACGTGGCCCTCCTCACCAATGGCCTCTACAGCGAGGACCAGCGAGCCGCACAAGCGCTGAACTGGGAGCTCAAGAGGGCGCTGTACGAGGCGATCCGGGCGGCGCAGAACGCGTCGCGGGAGCAGCGGCGCGGAGGAGCCGATGCACCGCACGCGTAGCCTGTGCCAGGACACGCGAGGCCGACGAGAAGCACGACGGCGACGAGCCCGAGCCGGCGAGGGCCCAGCTGCGGCAAGGAGGCCGCGGGCGGGTCGGCGGGCCCGAGCAGAGCGTCCGAGATCCCCGCGGGGGCGCCGCCGCAGCGGTCGCAGCCGGGCCCGCGGCGCGGCCCGCGGCGGGGCCCCTGGAGCGCTCTTGCGGCTCGCTCGCACTCTCGGGGCCTCTGCGCGCGGGTGCTCGGGCGCGCGGGCGCCAGCGCTCTCTGGCGAGGCCACGGGCGCTTGAGGGCTGCCGCGGGGCTGCGCGGCAGGAGCGCGTTGGCGGCGCGCAGGAAATCAGCGGCAACGTTGGGGGGGGGATATTGGGTTAGGCTCCAGGGGGGTGGGGCATCGACCCCCCAATCGCCCACTCGTCGCCGGTCGGGGCCCGATAGCCCGCCCCGTCCAGGAGCGTGCGGGTTCGCTATCGAGAGCCGATGGCCGATCCACCAGCGACGTATCGCCGACGCGAGCTTTCTTCTTCCCCCCCCCTGAGCTGGTCGCCCCCGTCGTTGGCCCTCAAGGAAGTGGGAGCGCATCGGCGCCCTCCCGCCCTGTCTGGCCCGAGGCGGGAACACTTTTCCGTCGGCGGCGAGGCAGAGGCGGTCCGCTCCAGTGTTGAGATGATGATGATGATGATGATGATGATGATGATGATGATGATGATGATGATGATGATGATGATGATGCTGTTGATGATGCTGCTGAAGATGATGATGCTACTGATGACGATTGTACTGACGATGATTGTGCTGATGTTGTTGATGATATGATGGTGATGCTGATGATGCTGCTGATGATGCAACTGATGATGATGATGATGATGATGATGATGATGATGATGATGATGATGATGATGATGGTGATGGACGTGATAGTGATGCTGGTGATCGTGGTAGTGCTGGTGTTGATGTTGTTGGTGGTGACGGTGGTGGTGGATGTGGTGATGATGACGATGATGGTGGTGGTGATGGTGACGATGACGATGATGATGATGATGATGATGATGATGATGATGATGATGATGATGATGATGATGATGATGACGGAATTGGTTTTCGTGCTGATGATGCTTATGATGATGAAGGAGAAGAAGGTGATGACGATTCTCATGTGATGATGCCGATGTCGATGGTGATTGTGATGCTGATGATGATGCTGATGCTGATGATGGTGACGATGATGCCGATGCTGATGATGATGATGCTGATGCTGATGCTGATGATGCTGCTGATGATGCTGATGATGACGATGATGATGCTGCTGCTGATGATGATGATGATGAACATGACGACGCCGATGATGCTGCCGCTGATGATGCTAATGAGGATGATGATGATGCTGATGCTGATGCTGATGACGATGATGATGATTATGGCGATGACGACGACGATGCTGTTGATGATGATGGCGACGATGATGATGATGCTGATGATGATGATGATGACGCAGATGCCGATGGTAATGATGATGCTGATGCTGATGCTGACGATAATGCAGACGATGCTGACGATGATGTTGATGATGCTGATGCTTATGATGATGCTGATGATGATGCTGATGATGATGTTGATGGTGGTGGTGATGATGCTGCTGGTGATGATGCTGATGATGACGATGATGATGCTGATGATGCTACTCATGATGATGCTGATGATGCTGATGACGGTGAGGATGATGATGGCGACGCTGATGATGAGGATGATGCTGACTATGATGACGATGATGCTGATGACGATGATGATGATGATGATGATGATGATGATGATGATGATGATGATGATGATGATGGTGATGCTCAGGTTTCTGCTGATGATGATGCTGATGATGCTGATGCTCATGATGCTGATAGTGATGATGATGATGATGATGAGGATGTTGATGCTGCTGATGATGCTGATGATGATGCTGATGCTGAGGTTGCTTATGATGATGCTGATGATGCTGATGATGACGGTGATGATGCTGATGCTGCTCATGATGTTGGTGATGATGAGGATGATGCTTCGGATGATTCGGTTTGTGAATAATGCTGATGATGATTATAATGATGACGATGGTGATGATGACGATGACGTCGGTGATGATGCTCAGGTTTCTGATGGTGATAATGATGCTGATGATGCTGATGCTCATGACGATGCTGATGATGATGCTGATGATGATGATGATGATGCTGATGAGCATGATGGTGATGATGATAGTGATGCTCATGATGATGCTGATAATTATCATGATGAGGATGCTGATGCTGATGCTGATGATGATGCTGATGCTGATGCTGGTGCTGCTGATGATGCTGATGATGATGACGATGATGCTGCTGATGATGATGGTAATGATGAGGATGACGATGATGATGATGATGAGGATGATTCTGACGATGCTGATGCTGATGATGATAATGATGATGACGGTGATGATGATGATTATGATGATACAGGCGATGATGGTGATGATGATGACGATGATGATGCTCAGGCTTCTGCAGATGATGATGATGACGGTGATGATGATCATGATGATGATGCCGATGATGCTGATGATGATGCTGATGATGAGGCTGCTGATGATTATGATGATGACGATGATGACGATGGTTATGATGCTGCTTATGATGACGATGATGATGCTGATGCTGCTGCTGCTGCTGATGATGATGATGGTGGTGGTGATGGTGATGCTGGTGAGGATGATGATGATGATGAGGATGATGATGATTCTCATGATGATGATTGTGATGATGATGAGGATGATGATGACGACGACTATGCTGATGCTCATGATGATGATTGTGATGATGATGATGATGAGGATGATGATGATGATGATGATGATGATGCTGCTGCTGATGATGATGATGGTGATGATGATGCTGCTGATGATCATGATGATTACGACGACGACGATGATGATGATGATGAAGATGCTGATGCTGCTGATGATATGATGATGATGCTGATGATGATGATTGATGGAATTGGTCCATGCAGAAGTATATGATGATGATGATGATGATGATGAGGGTCGATGATGTTGCTGAGCTGATGCTGATGGCCTGATGTGTGGTGATGATGAGATGCTGATGCTGATGAATGATGATGAGGAGGAGGAGGTGGAGGAAGGATTAAGGATGATGATGATGATGATGATGAATGATGAGATGATGCTGTGATGATGAGCCTGATGATTGTGATCGGTGATGATGATGATGATGATGATGAGGATGATGAATGATGATGAAAAAAAAAAAAAAAAAAAAAAAAAAAAAAAAAAATAAAAAAAAAAAAAATGCTGATGCTGATGCTGAATGCTGATGATGAACGATGATGATGAGGATGATGATATGATGATGATGATGATGAATGATTATATGCTGATTTCTGATGCTGATGTTGGATATCTGAGATGATGATGTGACAGGATGATGATGATGATGATGATGATGATGATGATGATGATGATGATGATGATGATGATGATGATGATGATGATGATGATGATGATGATGATGAGTATGATCAGGATGATGCTGAGGATTATGCTGTTTGTGAATAATGCTGGTGATGATTATGGTGATGAGGAGGGCGAAGAGGAGAAGGAGGAGGAGGGGCAGGAGGAAGAGTTGGAAGAGGAGCTGGAGGAAGAGGAGGAGGCAAGGCAGAGATGAGAGGAGTGAGGAGGAGGAGGGTGGAGGAGGAGAGGAAAAGGAGGAAGAGAAGGAGGAGGAGGAGGAAGGTAGGGAGAGGAGGAGGAGAGGTGGAGTGAGGAGGAGAGGGACGTGGAGGAGGAGGAAGGAGGAGTGAGGAGGAGGAGGGGAGGAGGAGGAGGGAGGAGGATGGGAGGAGAGAAGGAGGGAGGAGGAGGGAGGAGGAGGAGCAGGAGGATGAGGAGAGGAGGGAGAGGAGGATGGGAGGAGGAGGAAGGAGGAGGGAGGGAGGAGGAGGAGGAGGAGGAGGAGGGGGGGAGGAGGAGTCCGTAGCCATTTGGCTCAAGGCCATTGCCCGGGGCCTTCGCCTTCCCTGGGGTAGGGGCTCAAGGTGGTCGAGGGGCCCGCACGACTCTCGATCAGAGGCCCTGCCCAGGGTGAGAGTCATTCACTGATTACGTTCCGTTCTGGCTCAGTGAAGTACACACCTTCTCTGGAGGACGCGAGATGGCAGGAGGCTGGCATGACGCGTCGATCTGGAGATGTACACACTGCGGGTGCGGAAAAACGGCAACGTCAGAAGCATGGTGCAAGCACTGCAGTCGCCACTGGAAGACGGGCAAGCCCAAGAAGACCAAGGGCAAGGGCAAGGACGTCGAGCCACCTCCAGGCCTTTTCAATCCTGGTGCTGGCGGTGGCCATGGCAGCGCACCTCGTCCAGTCGGGCTTCAAGGTGAGGCTGACCCCGTCCCAGAGCTGTCGGTCGCAGAGATCAAGCAGCTCGTGTCTCTTGGGGAGAAGAGCAACAACAGTGGCATGGTCGAGTACTACCAGCGGGTGCTGGCCATCCGAGACAAGCAGCTGGTGTCGCCGCAGGTACGGGCGGACCAGGCTCACAAGACAATCGAGCAGCTCGAGAGCGACCTGGCCAAGGAGTCGGGGGTCTTGGAGGGCTTGCAGCAGCAGGTCACCAAGCAGGAGGGCAAGGTCGCGGCCCTGCTGGGCCACATCGAGCAGCAGGAGGAGATCTACAAAGAGGCCATTCGGGAACTCCACGCTGAAGTCACCCCAGTGGCAGAGGCGAAGGCGCCCATGGTGCGGCTGGAGGACCTCCTCAGCGGCACGGCCCAATGGGACCTCACGTGCGGAGAGGACCTCTTCGGGCTGTCGGACTACGTGGATGTGGCCGACGAGGACCGCGAGGAGGCGAAGAAGCGAGAGCAGCTACTCAAGGAGCAGTTCCAGACCCTGGCACAGTCGATGTTCGGGGAGATCAAGAAGAAGGCGGAGCAGTGCAAGAAGGAGCATGAGGAGCTCAAGGCTCGCCTGCAGGCGAAGCGCCGCCGCCAGGGGGCCGCGGGCGGCCAGGGCGGAGGCGCGGCAGCGGCGACGGAGGCAGGCAGCGGCCAGGCCGCGGCGCCAGCAGCAGCTGGTGGCGCCGACGCCGCCGCCGAGCCGCCGCCGCGCGCCGAGGTGCCCCCTCCGCCCCCAGCGCCGCCGACGTTCGGCAAGGGCGCGGCCAAGTCGGCGGCCGAGCTGCGCGAGCACGCCCGCAAGCTGGTCGGTGGCCACCCGCTCCTCGAGGGCAAGGGCCCAGGGGCAGGCGAGGGCGGCCATGCTCCAGAGGACCAGTCAGATCTTTAGC